GCGTCAAACCCACAGAGATCCGCCTGCCTTTGCCTGTGAATTGCTGGGATTAAAGGTTCATGCCACGACACATGGCTTCTTCTCTGCCTTCTGATGTTGAACACTGGGTAAGTTTGATGTGCTTCCCTGAATCCCATTGAGTTTTTTCCTCCTGCCTGTGACCTTACTGCTTGTAGCTGCCCATCCAAAACCCTGAAAAAGTTTTCATGGCTCAATAGCCCAGTGTATGGACTGACTGTCTAGAGATTTGCATCAAATTTTCCCAAAAGATGAGAAACTCTTTCAACCTGCAGTATTTTTCTCTTCTTCAAGTAATGTATCTTTCTTCATTTTTTAAAATATATACATACACATAATTTTTTTAATTATGTTTTGAAATATTGACTTCTGGGACAAAAATAGCCACTGCATTTGTTGACCTTGGCCAGTCAACTGTGTTTCCTTTTTTTCTAACTACATTAGCCCACTTTCCTTTTTCAAACCTTTCTCCTTGTCAGTTTCTTGCTATTTCTAATGATTAATTTTGTTCTATAATACCAAGCTTTTGTCATTCTCAGGTGATCTCCTTAGCAGGAAAGCTCCCTTTTCATCACATTCTAGAGTTTCACCATTCTCCTTTCAGCTACTGTTTTGTGCAATTTATGCTCTTACTAAGGTCTGACGTTTCTGGGAAGCAATTCTTAGATAATATTGTTGGTCCATACTCTGAAATTTTTCTGTTTGGTGAAACCCTAAGATTAGTTGGGCAGGAATTGCCTGTTCCGAAGCTCAGCTAGGGCCTTACTTGTATGCCTGTGTTTCTCTAGAGAGGCCATGTTTGAATCCTTTCCCTCAGTTTGCCAGCTTTTTCTTCCATAATTTCTTCTACGATGCCTCAGGCATGTGGGAGAAGAGGGGGTACCCCAAAATGCTGAGACTATCCCTCAGGTTGCTGCTCTCCAGCTCTGGGAATACTGGAGTTGTTAGGAACTTGTTGACTTAAAAGTAAAGTTCTAAGAGTTTTCCTTGGCTGATTATTGGAGGCATGGCACATTGCACATATCTTTTCTTTCCTTTTTTCTTTTGTGCAGTTTCTGTTGAACGCCATGTCTAATGGATTGTGTTTGTTTTCCAGCTGAGGCCTTTTCTGGGACCCACTTCGGTAGCAATCGGTGTGAGGAATTCTGTCTGAAGGACATCATCACACTACGCATCTTCAGCTTCAAAGTCATCATTTAGAATATGTTTTGAGGTTCAGAATTTTGAATTCTCGCAGACATTCTAGGGCTTTAGAGGATGTTCTTACTGAAGGGACACATTTCTGACTATACTACCTGCATGAGCCTCAGAAACATGACACCCTCATCTTGCCCCATTACCAACAGCCTCACTGATGAACAGTTTTATTTTCCAGTACCATCAAAATATTCCAGCTGATAATAGACTTAAAGGTGAGATGGTATGAGTTAGAAAATAGCAAAATATCAGTTAAATGTCACGCAAGAAGTAATTCTCATAGAATGGTGGTTTTCACAGACATCCTCATAATTCTATTCTACCTTTGAAATAGACACAGTTGATTACTGAGTCCAGAATGGTCCATTTCCCTCAGTATAGCATACCAAGAGATAGTAGACTCTGGAAAGGTGAAGATACACCTTAATAAAAACGTGTCAAAATTTAGACTTAAATGTTTTTATGTCATTAAAAATAGGGATACATAGTGAATATGATTTTTCTTTATCTTAATTCTAGCAGACAGCAATTCCTTCATAAATTGTCCAACCTTGAATGGACATTCCTGCTGTCCAACATGGCAGGCAACATGCCTGGCAACAGGAAAACACCCCTCATTGTGCTAATTCCTGCTGATAGACCTGAGTCAATACTGGTAAATAGTCCACACAAGCCCCCAAAGTATTTACCACTTTTGATGGATTTCAAAATTGACCATTGTAGAGTATTTTAAACTGAGATATTAGCAGAGCAAATAATGCATGCAGACCACCTCAATCTGACCATAGTTATCAGGGAAATGTACAACAGTATATAACAGTTGCAATCCAATGACATAGAAGTTCTCTGCAGAAAAATGATGTACGTTAACACACAAGAGCTAATATAACAACAGCAACAACAAATATCATCGTGAAACATCGCTAATCACACTGTCTGATTGAACATAACTAAACTCAAGGCATATCTACTGGAGCCTCACAGTTTGAGTACATACTCGCCAGCTTCTTTGTCCGTGACTACTATATGATGAGATGTTTCACAGAAGACACACATATGAACCTACCCTGATACATAGTCATGACACAAGAAAGACATTTCGTTCTTAGGAAAGCAAGCTATCCAAAGAAACAGCAGATTTATAAAAAAAAAATTAACAAACTGGATTACAGAACAAAAACGTATTTCTTCATGGACAATCCAACTCATCTGGATGGTTCGGCAAAACCAGAGGGCCATGTTCCTCCACTTGAAATGATATCAACACACACACATACACTTTGCAGATGTGTCTACACATGTGAACCCCACAGGGATGCTGGGAGGCCAGTGGGTGCACACCATCTGTGATTATTCGAAGCTGAGCATCTCAACTGCACAACTAGTGGGCAGCAGGCTCATGAACGCAAGTTCTCGGACAGCACCTCTACTCCCACCTCACCGTGTGTGTGTGTGTGTGTGTGTGGTCACGTGTGTTTGTCCTATCCATCAGTCACGATGTACTTCTTATCCTGGAGTCCAAACCAGGTCAGTGGTCCAAGGGAGAGGAAAGCGAGATCTGTAACTCTATCAAGAGAAACACATCTCTAATCTAGTAATGAGTCCAAAGGAAAAGAAAATGGTCTGGCGAAGGCTCACGTGGACCCATCACCCACTCCCGAATTCTACTGCTGTGGGTCTAAGTTTGCTAAGGATACAACAGCTGAGGAGGTTTGCAAACCAGTTAAAAGGAAACCTCAGGGGTAGAATCTAAGCAATGTGCTTGGTTTCTTCATGATACAGAACCCAGCATCTCAGAAATAAAATACACAAAAAAGATCGAGCGAATGAAATCCAAGGTTACACTTGTAAAGCCAAGTCGAGTATCATAGGGCACCATGGGAATCAACTAATTAACGCAATGAGTATTCTAACTTTTAAGAACAAGTACAACTTAGATCTCCCTTGTTTGTGCGAGACAGACTGGTGGGCAGCCCGCAGAGCTACAGCACTCCTCTTCGGTTAGAATGGTGCCGGATGCGGCCGGCCGCAGGTGGGACTGGCTGCCAAGCCGTCTCAAGGCTTCCAGTTTGAAAATGTTATGCTGCATACTGATCTTTCATTGTCAGGCAAATGACTTTGGCGATTTGAGTCAAGTCGTTTGGTTATCAGAATCAAGGAAAAAGAAAGAGCAAAGCTTGCTAACACACGCGTGGCTAGTGCAGTGTCAGCGAACAGCCCTTCCTTGCGGGACACGACTGTGTTTCTAGTTTTTCAAAGAAATATAACAGAGACAAAGACAAAATAAGATATCGTGGTACTGAAGACATAGCTAGAACAGTTCTTTCTAAAGTGTTCATTGAAGTCTCAGAATGGCAACACTAAGCGCTCTCTCCACACCGGCACACCTGCTAGCCCCTCCCCAGCCCTTGCCCACTTTCACCCACAGTGAAAACAAGCCACGGATGTTCTAGCAAGTTCACTTTTGCTAAATAGAGACCGCTCATGGATACGATTTCTGTGACGCTGGTGTAGAACCCCAAATTTTACAAAACTGACATTTCATTATGATTCCATAAAAAGACTGGGTAAACAGAGGATCTGAAAACCATCACGAGAGCAGAGCTTTACCGAGAGCTGGCTTTAAACAGGACCCACAGATGGGGATGTGTATGGGCATGGGAGCCAACTTCATGCCAACCTGTGGAATATTCCTCTCCTACTTAAGTGTACTTGGTAAAAGCTGTTTTATATGACAGCCTTATCAGGGCATCTAGGCCGTGACCTATAGCTACAGGGAAGCCCACATGGGGGACGCGGAAGCTCCAAGGAAGAACCAGTTTAGGTTATAGCTCTCGGAAGAGGAAGACAAGAGCAGAGTAACAAAAGCTTATGAACTGATTGTAGGAAACGAAAGACAAACAGCAGTTAATAAAGTAAATCAGACTGCCTGCAGAGTATGAACTTTTAACAGAAGTAGACAGAGAAGTGATCAAAGCTGTGCCCCATCAGTACATCTCCTAGAGCTCAGGCATGGAAGAAAACTACAAAGGAGAATTTGACAAAGCATCGCACCTGCTTTGAACACCTCTCTCTCTTTCTCTCTCTCTCTCTCTCTCTCTCTCTCTCTCTCTCTCTCTCTCTCTCTGTGTATGTGTGTCTGTGTGTCTGTGTGTATGTATATGCATGCATGGGTATGTGTACCACTGCACCTGTCTGGCAATGCAAGACTTCCCAAGTGTTTGGGGGTAAATTAAAATAAGCATCTGGTAATCATTCTATTCCATCCAAAACAGATTCACTTTGAGCTAGAGAGAAAAAGCCACATTAGGGAAGGAATAAAGTACCTGAGAACTCCACAGACACAGACTTCAGAAGGTAGGTCTATAAATAGTGTGCTTGTGAATGCACACTGTAAACAGAAAACCATCCGGCCGGCTGGAGCTGAGATTTCAACTGAAGCCCCACCATGAACTCAAGTCCCACTAGCAGGCGTTCCCAATCAGCCCAGGGCAAAGGCGGACACCGTCCTTTTACCTATCTCAGTGTCTCTTGAATCAGTAGCAACACTTTGCAGTTTCATTCAGAGGCAGCCTTCTTCAGCCACACTCAGAACGCACAGGGAAATGGTAAGGGAAGGATCTAAGTGAAACCCTTCAAAGGCACCGGGAGAAAAACAAAACATCAACATCACACCGGAAAAGCTATTCCTTAAGCAAGCTGTTTTCCCTTTCATTTCCCTGCCAGCCTGCTCTCCAGCCTTCGCAAACATTAAACAGACATCCCAGCTATAGGAGAGAGCATACCTGAGCTGATCATACCGTGCATTCTTTGCTGAGCCAAGAGCTGCTCCCGTCCGGCCACTCCATCTGAGGAAACACAGGAGTCACTCTCGTAAATTGTCTGCAGCATGCTCCGGTCACTCTTACTTCAGCTCCGTGAAACATCCATCACGGCTGCCTGCTCTGGTCCCAGGAGCTACCCTGGCTGGTCCTCCCTCCTCCCCGAGGAGAAACAGCAAGCAAGCGGAGGATCAACTTCCACAATGATTTCTTTCTGCTTAGATGGACATAGCCTTTTTTTTAAAAACAGACCTGGGCTCCTTTTCCCCCCAGTTACCAACCTGTGTGCAAAGCAGGAAGCAGTGGATGCTATGGCTTGCTGGAGTTTTAGGTTATCCTGGAAACTAAAAGCAGGCGGGCAACAGGAATGTGCCTCGGGGTTATTTCTTTGTAAGACTAAATAGAAAAATATTAACTCTACCCATTGGGGAAAACAAAGAAAGAAAGGAAGAAAAAACAATGAAACCTGGCGTCTAGCTCCTGGGCTGCTAGGGTTTCCAGGCGAGATCCTCACCCTGCAAGTGGCTCCAGAGGGTGTCCTCCTATCTGTCTCTGCCTCTCTCCCTTCCCTTTCTCAGTCTCTCTCAGCTCAAGTTGGCTAAAGCTAGTGATAATCCATTTGCATATGAATCAACAACAGCATGGCCCACAGGCACAGAAATAGAACAATGGTCGGCCTGAGCCAAAAATAGGTCAAGCATGGCCGAGTGATTGGAGCCTGCATTAATGCATTTAAAAATACCCCAGCAAAGCCAGCTGTCCAGCCTCTATCTTTCAAACCATAATTCTCTATTGCAGGGCCTTAAAAGCAATTAACTCTTTCCTTCCTCTGCTTGCTTTCCATACTGGGCTTTCACACCGGCATCGCACCCCCAAAGAAGGGAAATAAGGAAAAAAAGGAGAAGAATCCTAACTCGGAGAGGGAGAGTGCACACACATTTCACTTTATTTCTGTAGTGTGTGTTTTTGGAAGAGAGAGCAGAGAAGAGCAGAGCTGTATTGGTTCTAAAATAATACTGGAAGCTTTTGCTCATAATGTGGTTTCTGCCTCACCCACGCCCAGCAATCCTGGTGTTCTATTTTGGTTGTCTGTTTCTCTGGCTACACTGCAGTTGGCTGGAGGACTAGAAGCTTTTCTGCCTTCTAGTTTCAGCACCGACAGGAGATTCAGCAGAGGTCATTTCTGAAAACAAGCTCACCCCAGAAGAAAAATTGTACAAAGGCTTGGCTTTGTGGCTTGTTTGGTTGTTTTTTTTTTTTTAACTTATTTATCTTGTCCATTCCACAGCTCCTAATGTGATCTTAGATTACATATCAATTTTATTGCGTTCGGTTCCTGCTATACTTAAAACAAAAATCAAGCTGTGTTGTAGAACTACAAGAATTTTTCCTCTCTCAGTCTCTCAGGCCAGACCCTCTTTACCTATAATAGAGGAATGTTGATGGGAATATCTACACCTACAAAGCAGTCAGTCAATACATTCACTACCCAAGTACAAATGGCTAGTGTCTATTTATACCTTGGGTGGCTGAAATACAGACCTCAGTTTTGTATAGCATGCCAATCGAGTTTCAGGCCAACACACATTATAGACTTCCCCTGTGAGCTAGACGGAATGCGCAGCTTCTCAAGAGAGTTTGATGATCTCTGGTATACATTAATAATAACGATTTCTCTCTCAGCAGTAAATCCAGCATCCCAAGAGGGGACACCGGCATCTAGCCAGTTCTAAGGGCAAATTCAAGAGTGGTACCCATCATGCAAGTTCTTCCTTGACAAACAGACTCAGCAGGGGCATCAGCGGGGCAGGGAAAAGGAAAGGCCAAAGCCCAGTAGTCACAGAGCAGAGGCATCTCATCACACCCAGGCTGTGGAGCCAGGAAAACCAAAGATGGACTCACAGAATTCCGGCAAAGGGAAGACAAGGCAATACTGGCTGGATTCTCTTCCCTGTATCAACTAATCTCTGCCCATTGCCCCTCTTCAGGAAACGGCATTATTTGGACAGCTAACGCACAAGAGTGTTAAAACAGTATTTTTTTTTTAATGTCCTTGCAAGTAGGCAGGACAACAAAACCGTAATGTTTCTATCAGTGGAAAATATGTTTCGCATTTCCTTTTTAAAAATATGCATGCATAAAATTCAAGACATGGAAATACTGTCCTCTAATAGGACGGCTATCACACGGGGCACCTGAGACCTCGTGAAGACGAACCGTTCATGAGCTGCCTCCGTTTCCTTCACAGGAGCTGCTCCCCCCACCAGGGCAGCTTCGTGGAGGGAGGCAATGTTCTTCCTTTACTATTCTTTCATTCTTCCAATATTTATTCTCTATTGTTTTTGCACTGTAGGCTGTATCCCCATTTATTATCAAGGTTCCATCAGAAAAGGTTTTAGACATCCATTCACAGAGATTGGAAATGATTTTGTTTATAATTAATTATTGTAAAGTAGTTATAAATATAAAACATCGCACAGGAGATTAGCCAGACCCTAGTGTGGACCATCTTAATTAACTTCTCTACAGTTAGAGCAGCCATTCTGAAGCTGTGGAGACTCATGTTGGATCTTACGCTTCTACTGTTAATTATATTTTTGTGGATTTATCCAAGACAAAAAAAACTTGAAAAATTAATGATGGAATTAAGCCTAGGAATACAATTAATTAACATTCTATTGGCTTCATTATTCCGTGTCCATGATTTAATGTGTGCATGTGGGTTTAATCCTTCCTCGCCACCTAAAATTTATCTTTTATTTTCTTCTTTCTACATGTTATATTTTAACCATGTGTATATTTGTTTACATGTGCACATAACTGTAATAGGATAGATATGCATGAGGAAAAAATGTTCTTTTAATTTCTGATGTCAAATAACCTTAATATCAATTAGCACGTTTTAATTTCACCCACTTCTCTGTGATTTTTGTTTCACTTCTTGAAAGCTAAATAGTATTCCATTTTCTATATGTACTAGATTTCCTTACCCATCCACTGGTAGTCGGGTAACTCCTTGCCGTAGTGAAGAGAGCAGACCATCATGGGATGCAGACATCGCTACAGGGTGGGAGGGGGGCACAGAGTTCGCTGGGTGGATCATGTGCTAGGTTTGTTTTTAGATTTTTGAGGAATTTCCAAATTGATTTACAAATGGTTGCATTCATGTGCACCCCATCCGCAGTGAACAGGGGCTCCTCTCTGGACAGTTTCTCCAGTACTTGCAGGGATTTTGATAAACGCTATTCTGACCAGGGTGAAGGGGGGATCTTAAAAGTTTCAACTCACATTTTCTTGATGGCTAGGCATATTAAACATTTTTTAAAATTGTTGCCATATATTTGTGTTTCTTCTTTTGAAACCTCTCTTCCATTCATTAGCCCACTTCTTAGTTGGCAGTTTTATTTCCTTGATATCAAATTTCTACATTTCTTCTTGAAATTCTGTCTATCGGCCCTTGTCTGGTATATAGCTAGAAGATTTTTCTCCCACTTTCTGGCTGTTTGCCCTCTGATTTGTTTTCCTGTGCTAGGCAGAAACCTTTATATACGAATAACTAAAAAATATTTCACACAAGCCAAGCTGAAAAGACCAGTCCACGGAATGGAGAAATTCTTTGCTAACTATGCGCCTGGCAGGTATACTCTGTAAGGAATTCCAAACGTTAAACACTAATAAAACAGTCAGCCAATCATTAAATTGTCTAAAACACTTAAAAATAGTTCTCAAGGAGAGAAATTTAGGCAATAAATAGTAAAAAAAAAAAAAAAGAAAAGAAAAGAAAAAAGTATTCAATATCCTTAGGCATCGGGAAAATGCAAATTAATATTGCTCTTACCTCTATCAAGATGGATTTCATCTAGATGACAAATAACAACACTGATAGCCATGTTTAGAGAAGGGAAACCTCATCCACCTGGGGTGGGAACTAAAACTGGTACAGCCAGTATGGAAATCAGGGTGGAGTTCCCTGGGAAAGTAAAGCCAGGGCTATCATTTCAGCTCCTGTGCTCTTGTTGCTATACACCCAGAGGACTCCAGGCCAGCAACCTGGCACAGCCAAGCTCATCACCGCATTACAAGGATACAGGATCAGCCCAGAGGTTCAGCAACAAATGAATGAATTAAAAGATAACGGGGGTCACATGCGCACAATAGAATCCATTTGGCTGTAAAGAATGAAATTGTGACATTTTCAAGAAAGTTTATGGATCTAGTATAATCATCTTAAGTAAAACATGCCAGACTCAGACAAATATTTCTCATATGTGGAATATTGATTTAAATGTAAGCATGTGTGTATTCATGTAAGGCACACACACATATACACAAACATACATATATGCACATGTATATATAGGGCATCAGAATAGAAAGGAAACTGTTAAGACAAGAAGATAAGATCTAAAGAGCAGAAGGCAAAGAGAGAGAGAAGGTAAGAGGTACATATTATATAATGTGCATGTCGTAAGAGCAGTCAGGGGAAGAATTGGGAAGAGGAAAAAAAAAGCACCAGAGGGTGAGGGGCTGGCAAGAGAGGGTTGAATAGAAAGAAAGTTTGACGATATTTGTGAAAATGTCACAATGAAATAGATTTTTCTACTAATGAAGGCTCTCTATCCTCCCATCGAGTACTCCCATCCACCCATCGAATGTTCCCCATTGGTCCATTGAGTGCTCCCCATTCTCCCATCACAAATGCTCCCCGTCCACCCATCAAATGCTCCCTGTCCACCCATTGAATCCTCCCTGTCCTCCCATCGAATGCCCCCTGTCCACCCATCATGGTTGCTTTCTGTTTCTGTGTCTCTCTAACAGAACCATCACTTCTAAACAGACTTGTGTAAGGCGACACAGATGATGGTCTCCAGCCTTGGGTTCTCTCCTTACACACCCTTTGCCCTCACCCAATGATACAAACACACCGCTTTACTTTTCCAGAATACAGTTTCAGAAGAATTACTGATTAAAACAGAATAATTGTCTACTTGTTGTGGAGTGTTTTTAACAGAATATACAAAAATTGT